AGTACTTTTGACAAAATCTTTTATTTATGTAAATTTATAACATTCATTCATAAAAATTATATTTCCCTGTTTTTCTACCTTTTAGGAAAATTATAGTTTTTATTAGAAATTAACAATTTTGATTGTAATCAAATTAATACTTCAAGCAATTTTTCAGTAATTATACTGAAAAATTGCCTAAAGTATTAAACTTGTCAGAACCACTGTCCAGTGCATAAGAGCAAAACAAATGATGGCATGAGAGTAACAGAAAAACTTTTTGTTTCATAAAAATCACTTTTTTTTTTTATCACATTTTTGCTAATAATCCTTTCTCAACCAATGAGCCATTTAAACAACTGTACACTGTAGTGTTATGCAATAACATTTAGTCTAGACTGCATTAATTAAAGCAATTCTCATTAAATTTTAATGAAGAAAAAAATTCCTTTGTAGATTTGATTTGAATTGAGATATTAAAGTTCCATCTGAATGTAGCACTCATTTTGAATTCTAATATATCCATTTTTCAGTGTCAGTAACATTTTTGCCTGAATAGGACTTGTGTTCCAAAACAAGAGAAAGAGAACTATTTAAACAGTGATCAATATTCCTTTCCATAAATTCATGTGGAAGCTAGCTATTTAATATTTCCTAATGCTTGTAAATGACATATTATGGCTAATTGATTGACTTATAATTTTTCTGCAAATTTACATGTTGTTTATGCATCAACTTTTTACAATTCATTTCTTTTCAAGTTCCAAATTCTTCCAAAGCATTCTTTGACCTACAGCTCAATATTCTGTTTTTAATGTTTCAACGCATCCTTGTACATACTGCATCATGAACAAAAATTTCTCCCGCATTTTCCACAAATTAAAAGTTGACAGTGTCAAATGTGAACTTTTTTTTTCAGTCATGATTTTCAACAAAATAAAGTAAAACTACTTTTTTGCAATTTTAAAAGTGCATGCACAAACAATAAAGAGCTGAGTAAACTTCAAATACATTTCCATGTTTTTCCTAATATGTGCAAAACCTGTGACTGAGAACTTCCATGTCAACCTAATGACAAAATATTTCATTTTATAGGGAAAAAATCTACACTGAAAAATGAGGAGCATTTCCTAACAAACAAATATCTTTTAATAGTCAAAACATTTCTTCACATGCAGGAGTTTTCATTTGTTTTACACTTGTGAAACTGTTACAATAGTGTTTGATTAAAGGTTGTCCCCTATTGGATGTGAAGCTTTTTGTATATTGTGAAGAACTACATAGTAATTTAGTGTATCATTGGAAGTTTTTACAATAGGCAATCCATTTTCTTGTTCATTGTAGTTTGGTACAATTTAAATTGTAAGTGAAATACTGTTTTTTTGGTAATAAGAAAGTGAAAATAACTTCAGATATTTATCAGGAGGTAGAAACTATGTTAACTCTTCTGAGAAAGGAGGCAATTCCACTCCCTGTACTTGGCATTAGTACAAAATGTATTATGTATTAACTAATTGCTATCCCGTTTACTAAACATTCTTGTTAATGATGCTATAAGCACGAAAAATATAATGAGTCATTACAAAATTGGCTACTATTCAAATACAACTTTTAATGAAAAAATGACCTACATTCTACTTTTCAATGACTAAAATAAAAACTATTAAATTCTGAAAATTTTATTTTCTGATAATGTACCATATGAAAATTAACCTTTCAAGAAACTCATAGACATAAAGCAGGAAATGATTCCATCTTTGTGGATTTTTAGGCTTTTTAAAGGGTGAATAATAACACAGTTTAAAATATTTCTCCAGAGTATACTTATTTTTAAAAGTTAACATTTGACATTGCCAAGCCATCATTTAGCAAATAACAATTTGTTTCTAAAATAGATTTTCCTGCACTGTATTTCAAAGTGAATTCTCTAAATGTAAATTTTCTAATTATTCAAGAAAATGATTTCTGTCTCATGCATTTCCATGTGTTTTTGCAAATCTGACTTTCTAGAAAATGCAGATTTACATATTTCACATAAATATGATTTTTCTTTAGTATGTATCTGCATATGAATTTTTAAATTTGAACTCTGTGAAAATGCCTGCCCACACTGTTCACAAGAATATGGTCTTTCACCAGTATGTGTTCGCATATGTCTTTTTAAAAGGGAACTCCTTGAAAAGGCAGAGTTACACACTTCACAAGAATAAGGTTTCTCTCCAGTGTGTGTGCGTTTATGTATTTTCAAGGCAGAACTTGTTGAAAATGAATGTCCACAAACCTCACATGAATAAGGTTTCTCTCCAGTATGTGTTCGCATGTGACATTTTAAACCATCATTAAATGAAAATGCAGTTCCACAAATTTTACAAGAAAATGGTTTTTCTCCAGTGTGTGTTTGCATGTGCCTTTTTAAAGCAGTATTGCACAAAAATGTTGATCCACAACTTTTACAGGGAAACAGTTTCTCACCAGTGTGTATTCGCATGTGTAGATTTAAATACGAGCCTGAAGAAAAAGAAGATCCGCACACGTCACAAGTATATGGTTTCTCACCAGTATGTGTTCGTATATGGCTTCGTAAATGTGATCTCTGTGAAAATGCATATCCACAAATATTACAGACATATGGTTTCTCACCAGTATGTGTTCGCACATGTGTTCTTAAACTAGCTCTTTCAGAACAAGCATATCCACAAATGTCACAAGAATAAGGTTTCTCTCCAGTGTGTGTCCGTATATGTACTACCAAATGTGATTTCAATGTAAAGGAAGAACCACACACTTCACATGTATATGGTTTCTCACCAGTGTGTGTACGTATGTGTACTACTAAATGCGAGTTTTGTGAAAAAGAAACACCACAAATGTCACAAGAATATGGTCTCTTTGCAGTGTGTATTTGCATGTTTTTCATTTGAAGCAGACTTTATTAAAAAAAAATTGTTCAATAAGATTCATAAGAATAAAATTATTGAAATGTCTTCTGAAATCATAACTTCAAAATTTTATTATTTACAGTTTCTATAAATGCTTTTTATGTCTTCCCATTAGATTCAAGGGCATCTGCAATTATAAAGGAAAGTTTATTTTATGTATGAATTGAAGTTCAAAATTAAACTGTAAATACATGCAGTAGGAAAATAATTTTTTCATACGATTCAGTTAGTGAATTTTCTGTTTTTTTTTTTTGTTGGAAGGGGTTTTGAATTATGGGAGGTGGGTATGTACAAAAAACTGTTTAACATTCAATGAATCATTATGTCAAATTTCAGCTTCATATGTAAATATATTCTCTTATAAATAAAATATATTTTAAAAGAGTTTTGATGACATTTCTAAAAGCTCTCTGAAAATTTGTTTATTTTATTATGTGGTTAATCATCAGTTCATTCAATGTCACAATGTTTCATTTCACTATTGGGCTACATCAGTGAGTTTCTAATTTAAGAAAGCCAATTTGCTAAAATTATGAAACATGTTTTATCATTTTTTTAATCAATTTACCACAATTGATTTATTTGTTTTCTATGCCTTATCAACCCTTTGCAGGTTATTTAAAGCCAGAAAATATTTTTTCCATTGCAAGAATATTTTTTTGAGATATTAATTATTTAGCAATACAAGTTTTACTAATTAACCCATAGCTGGAAGAGATGTGGATTCATACCTTTCACAAGGGTATTTGCACATAAGTAAGTAATGAACCCAACTGAAATTGGAACTCAGCTCTCTGATTAATAAAACGGTCACCCATCCAGTTACTGATCAGGCTCAACATTGCTTAACTTTGATGATCATTTGGGAAGCAGTGTTTCAATGTGATATGGCTGTAAGCTCAAATTACTCAAAGCAAGGTGAGTAAAATGCCAGTAAGATGCAATGGGCTACATGGAGTGAAAGAGAATGACAAGACTTTAGAAGGAACCTGAAACTCAATGCTAAACAGGAAACAAGGGATAAACCTCTAATCCAGTTCAAAAGACAAGGGAGCAGTGTGAACCTGATGATTCAACATTTTACATAATCTGGGCCACTTGATCTCCTTGGATAGTACAGATAATTATAGAATTACTTTTAGGATCACCAAAACTACAACTGCTAAATAAATAAATAAATGGTACCCTATTGCACAGAAAATGCATAACCATAAAAAAACCCTGTTCTGTCCATTCTCTTCTATGATAGTGATATTTGGCCAACAATAATAAAACAGAACAATATAAGAATTAATGTCTCACATGTAATGTCACCAGATCCTAATTGGCATCAAATGATTCCAATTTATAATGACACCCACCTCTCTCTCAATTTAGAAGACATAATTCAAAGAAATTGAAATGACCCAAAAATCTGAACTCCATTACCCAGGATCAAGGCCATATCAACATACAACACAAGCAAGAAACAGGGTTCACTAGAGAAGGGATTTGGCAGACTGTAATCACTATGATGATTTTCTAAGCATAGCTTAGATGTGGCAAAAGGCTAAAAGCAGAGGGTACTCAGTGCAGATCAAACTCACCACTCAGTCATAATTGTTCTAGTGAGGCAAGCTTGATGACCATTACATCATATCAAATTGTTTCAGAATGTAGTTACTATGCATGCATAAAAATAAAAACAAATCTTTACAAAATGAAGAAAGAAAAATTCATATATCAAAGTAAACATTCTAGTGTTAAAATCTCCCTACATCAAATCTAGGCTATATATTAATATGCTTGTACATATGGATGTATGTGACACATCACAGATACTGAGCAAGAAACAGAGAGATTGTATCAACCCATTGCAGGTTATTTAAAGCCAGAAAATATTTTTAGATTGTAAGAATTTTTTTTGGCAATAATAGTTTAGTGTTACTAATTAACCCATAGCTGGTGGGAGAAGAGGTGGATTCATACCTTTCACAAAGGTATTTTTGTATAAGTAAATATATGAACCCATTGGGAATTGGTGTTTGGCTCTTCGATTAACAATTCCAAGCCATTATCCATTGCACCACCTGCGCATCCCAGCTTACAGTACTTGGTATTCCCAAATGATCACCCATTTAGATACTGACTAAGCTTGATGTGGCTTAACTTTGGTGATCGTATGGTAACCGGTGTTTCAACATGATGTGGTTGTAAGCCTCAAAAAGAGAGAGGAACATACAGAGTAAAACAGAAAGAGAGAGAGGGAAGGACAGACACTAAAAGAGAATGTAATACACAGAGATTGGAATCAGGGGAGGTCATCTTAGATAAAGACAGCTGTTTGTAGTAAAGGGTTAAATCATGTTTCATGACCTAACAATCTGTTGGGGACAAATTTGCCCTTGAACAGCAAGTGACCTTTGGAAATTAATTTTTTTTTTTTAATCCTATCAAATTTGTAACAACAGACTTATGGAACCCAGACTATATTGAGTGTTTGAGAGAAAAAGAGAAAAGGACATAGAGAGTAAAACAAAAAGAGAGAAAGGGATGTAGTGCAACATAGAGAGGAGGTCATCTTAAATAAAATCAGTTTGTAGTGAGGGATTAAATCAGGTTTTGTGACCTTTCTGTTGAGGATATTTCAGTATTTTTTTTTTTGTCACTTTTCTTATAACTGCCTTGAAATGGTTATGAGTTGAAAAGTACAGTACAGCATTAAAAGATTTTATTAGAAATTTGTGTAATTTACATGGGTCCAGCTAGTCTATATATTAATATGCACATATCAACTTATTTATGGTGTATGTCATGCTTATCCTACTAAATTCAGTCTGTGTTGAGCATACAAGAAGATATCAGAAAGAAAGTGGAACATACAGAGTAAAAGAGAGAGAGAGAGAGATGAACATAGAGACAGATCCTGCTAGTAATTTATTATTGCAATCAAAAGAGAAATAGTAGCCCCATATTAAAAAAGTTTACCAAATTTCACACTTCATTTCTTAAAAATAAAAAAAATATTATTATACACTGATTTATTCAAATTTTTATTGTCACATTTTGTCTATAACTTTGTGAAAAATTTAGAAGAAACCCTTTATTCAAATCATCAGGTTAGATTGTGCTCATTCAACTGTTCATGGTCAAGGATATCTTAAATAAGTTTTAGTTAATTTCGATGAAATGTGAATATAACACTCTAGATGAGGACACCAGTTACTATAATTCACTGTAAAATGTCCTATCACCTCGACATTGCCATATTTGCTAATTTACAATTTAAAAGAAAGGTTATTATATTTCAAAACTTTATTTTTATTCTTTTTTCTGTATCTAAACTTTTTTTTTTTTTTAAATTCGAAAGATCTATACTAAATCTTTTCTGATTAAAACATGAAAATGTCCCACTAGTAAAAGCAGGGAAAATGGAAAATCTAAAACAAATAAATAATACTGTAGCAATTATTTATGCTACTTTTAACCTGTGAAAATGTCATGGTTTTCCAATTTTAATATTCTGATGAATCTTAATTCTTAAGTTAATGATTGATTTCAACAACAGTGGCAAGTTCTACAACAGTGAAATATCCATAGAAATTTGCCCTGTTACATTGTTAAATATTTCAGTTTAACAACTTTAACAAAATATTGCAATAACAATCAAAACTATGACTGCTGGTCATTATTTTAAGAAGTGGGTACAAATGAAAAGATTTTAAATTGACAACCTTTTTCATTTCACTGAAACAGCTGTTAAACATTTCTATCATCCCTTGTTCCATTCATCAAGTACTGTCTTTTTCTCCTCTTTCTACATGATCAAAACAGAACAGTCTATTATTTGACATATTGGCAGTACTTAACTGTCATGTGAACTAATGAATGGAGGGGACAAGCACAATTATAATAGGATTTTTAACTTGTGATCAAAAAAATATAAAGATATACGGAAAAGATTCAAGAAAAAGAAAATAATAAAAGTACATAAATATGCAAAAACAAGAGTATGCTTACTGAAATGTTTGAGAATTTTTATTATATTTAATTTTAGGTAGATATCTTGTAAAAAGAAATCAGTTTTTTTGATTATCGCTGTGAATTTTCCAAGCTTATATCTCACAAGGATGACAAGTAACAATAAATATGATAACATTCAACAGAAAATAAATCCTATGTGTACTATTTAAATAATAAAAAAAAAATCTTAAACTGTAAGAAATGGGTTTTTAAGTCATTGTTTCATGTTACATGTCAGTTTAACAGAATAGATTATTTGGGAAACAATTAAAAGTGGGTAATACATTATTATAGATAGCACTAAAATGGATACATTTTTCCAAAATGAAAAAAAAAATCATTACCATATTTAAAATAAAAGATACAAATATTTATTTGCATTGAACATTACTGCCACATCTGGTCTGGTGCTCCTGCTATATATTTAGAGATTCTTGATAAAATCCATATTGGTTTCAGTGCCTTCCCACCACCATAACATAGCATCCCTGTCTTTTCTAAATACTTTCATGGTATTTGTTCTGATGAACTTTCCTCCATGGTACCTAGACTTTATGAATTTAAGTGTTGTACTAGATTGGCAGTAAGGATTCATCAATTTGCAGTAGAAATGGCTAGATGTAAGTTCTATGCTAACAGTTTCTTCTATTGCACATCTCGCTTCTGGAACTCTCTTCTGGTGTTTTGCTTCCCAGTAAGCTTTGATGTTCAAAAATTTAAATGCAATGTCATTCGTTATCTTCTGTCTTCTTAATTCTTATTCTTTTATTGTTCTCTTTCCTTAATAACAGTTTCTCTCATATTCTCTAACACTCAGTAACCTTTGATATCCTAGTGGCTTTATTGCCTTGCTTGGGGTGAAATGATTAAAAAAAAATTACTTGTCATATTTCAGTATGATCTTGAAATTCATTTGGTATTTTTGTTCAAAAAACATAATTCTGAATTACTAATTACTGGATAAAAAAAAAATTATATAAAAAAGCGTTCACATTGTATTTGTCAAGTAATTTTTACAGTTAGGTATCCTTTTAATGCCAAATATTAAAGTTTAAAAGTATCGTTATCTGTCAACACCTCATTAAAAACACTCAGCTCCAAGCAATTTAAATTCGGTTTGAAAAACAGTATTTTGCTTACTAGGAAATATTAAATTTAATTTAAACTAAAATAAAAACTTCCAGAATGATTTTTCATTTAAAATGCATTTTAAAGTTTAAAATTCATTTTAAATAAAAAATCATTCCGGGAGTTTAGAACTAATTTATTTTTAAATATAAATTTAAAATATCAATGTATGCAGATTACTGAACTGCTCGTTTTTAAAAATTCTTAAATTTTATTTGTTAATTTTTCGCACGCTTTTTATGTGAGGATGTATTTTTTTTTAACGTTTATTAACCCACAAACTGCTGTGTGCAAAGAAACGTTATTCTCAAAAAGTTAAAAAAAAAAAAAAAAAAAAAAAGAAAAGTAAACATTTTACATACATTTCTTTTACAAAATCCAGTTCTGTTAATTAATCCTTAAATCATTTAAATTTAAATGACTTCGAAATATCTGTCTTTATTTTTTGCTTGCATGTTTCGTCTATAATGGATGAGTTAACATGCCAATGTTTTGAAAAATATCTAAAAAAAAAAACTTTATTTGTATACGGAAATTCATTTTTAAGTCGGATTAGTTTTCCTTTTTTAAACAATTATCTATCAAATAAAAAAAATCAAAATTTAAAGATGCTTTTTACGATTTTTTTTAGGAAGTCCGGGGCGCGTCCAACTTATTTTTTTTTTACTTTCCAATTTATTTCTTACACAGTTTTTTTTTTAAATATTGAACATATTAATGTTTATAATGTGAGGCAAAATAATAATATTAATTAAATTTAATATTCAGATTAATTTATCAATATAAATAAAATACACAGAAACCGATGTTTAGATTCAAATAGAAATTTTTAAAAAAGTTAAAATACGGGATTAAATTCTAAAATGCAAACATTACGAATCGATGTTTTGTTTTGTCTGTAGTGTAAACTTAATTAAAGAAATAAGCAGAAAGTGACATTTCTTACCGTTGTCTGTCCTCTTCTTTTATTTCACTTTATTTTATCTTCCTAAGTAAGGAAAGATGATAAACTGTTTGAAAAAGTTAATTTCTTTGCGATTAATTAAATTCTGCTGTTGATTTAATAGCGAGATTGCGTTGACATTTAATTTGAAATAGCAGAAAAGAGCGATTATCAAGGGAGATAATCATTATAAAGCAGACAATTTTGTGTCCATTTCAAGTTATAAAGCGTAGCATAAAATCTGAACGATTTTTTTCCTATTATTTCTCGGATTCTTCTTTACCATTGTTGTTTTTTAAATTTTAATGCTATATTTTTGACAACAGAATGTTATATATCAGCAATGCGCATTAAGGATGTTAGAATGACCTCCCTTTCCTGTAAGTGACCGAAGGATTCTGGATTATGTCCCCCTGACAACACGTGTATTTTATTTTAGCTGTCAATAAAGTGCGGCTACCGATGTCTGTGTTGTTGTTGATGCAAGTCCAGTCACTCTTGTTATTTCTCGCGTTAAACTAAGAATATACGGAAATAGTTATTCTGATAATTAAATTCTCATATTAACACTGGAAATTTTCATAAATTGTTAATAATTATTAACAATACATGAAAATATTATCTTGATTATTTAACTTAAAAAACATTAATTAAAATTATATTTTGGGTATTGTCTAACAAAGTTACATTTTCACACACTTTTTCAGAGATTTTCAAACTTTTCTCTTGACTCACCAGGAATATTACTGCTTAGCTTCCTTCCAAGAACTGAAACTCTTTTGGGTGATATCCCCTTCCATTGTTTCTGCTATCATCTCTAATCTAGATCCCCACAAAGCATGTGGACTCAATGGTATCCTTGTAATAGTCATTAAAAGTGTGATCCCCAACTGGCTCCTGTTCTCTCTAAATTAAATGCCTCACTGGCTCCTGCTTTCCTGCCTGCTAGAAGTCATCATCTATTGTTCAAGTTTTTGATGACTCTGGTGAGCCATCTGACCCTTCAAACTATCATCCTATTAGCCTTCTACCTCTTTTTAGGAAACTCCTAGAGGCCCTAATCAATGCTGAATTGGTTCATCATCTCTCATTGCAGGGCCTTTTCTCAGACAAGCAAT